CTCTCTCTCTCTCTCTCTCTCTCATCCACCATTCTCCTTCCTCCTCTTCTCCCAAAATCTTTCCCACTTGTTCCTGCCAACTTCCTCCTCCTTCTGCTCATTTCCTACAACTCTCCCACGTATGTTCCCATGTCTCTTCCTCCATTCCACATAATTTACATCTGCTCTTCTCCTCCGTCTCCCAGTACCTTTCCTCCTTCATTTCAGTTCCTAACCTAAACCTCGCCACCCTCCTCCATCTACTCTTCCTCCACACCTTTTTAAGATAGCCCGGCTTTTCCTCCCATTTCACTTTCCCATACCATCTATTGTATCTTGACCCTTCTATCTTTTCCTCCCTCTCTCTCTCCTGTATATCCCTGTTCTTTTTTCTAATCTGCCCATACCCTAAATCCCCTTTTTCCTTCTTCTCTTCCGCCTTCTCCGGCTCTATTCCCCTTTCCTCGAAAAACTTCCTCGTCTCTGAGTTTGCTCTTCCACTTCCTACTCTTTCCATCATCTCCCTTCAGCACCTTCTCGCTAGCGCACTCCCCTTCCCTTCCTCCAGTCTTCTCTCAAAATTCCACGCCCTTTTCCCTGCCCTCCCTCAATTTTTTTCTCTTTAACTCCTCCCTTATCATATACCCTGGCGTTCTTCCGTCTACTCCCAGCACCCACTTTATATACTTTTCCTCCAATTTCTCCATCTTTTCTCTTTCTTTCCACCCCCATATTTCCGCTCCGTATCCCATCACCGTCCAAACCAATCTGTCGAAGAGCCATAGTCTTCTTCCCCAATCCTTCCCGAACCTTCTCTTACCAATCCCCCATACCTGCCCCATTATGGCCGCTGCTCTTTTTACTTTTTCTCTTACATGTGCTTCTTGCTTTCCGTTTCTTTTCAGCGTGTATCCTAAATATCTGAATTTTTTTACCTCTTCTATCACCTTCCCTCTCCACCTCCATATTTTCTTCCCCATCCTCCCTCCCCCCTTCCTAAACCTCAAAATCTTCGTCTTACTTAAATTCAACTCCAGTCTCTTCCTCCCCAAGTACCCCTCCAGCCTCCTTATCATACTCCCCATCTCCTCCTCATTCTCCGCCATCATGACTATGTCGTCCGCGTAAGCCAAGGTATGTACTTTCCCTTCTCCCAGTCTCACCCCTCCCCATCTAACCTTTCCCATCTCCTCCTCTAATTCCGTCGTTACCACATTAAAAAGCAGCGGACTAAGTGGGCACCCCTGTCTCACCCCCCTTGTCGTCAGAAAGCCTTCCCCATTTCCCCTCCTACCCTTACCCTGCTTCTCGTTTCCTCATAATCTCCTCCATTCTCACTACCAGTCCCTCTCTTATTCCCCGTTCCCTCATCGCCTTCACCAAAACTCCTCTCTCTACTGAGTCAAACGCCGCTTTCAAATCCACAAACATTGCAATCATCCTTCCCTTCTTCCTTCCCAATTGTTTGTTTACCAGATAGTTTAATACATATATATTGTCGATCGTCCCCATTCCCCTCCTGAAACCCGTCTAATTGTGTGGCATTATTCCTTTACTCTCTATCTCCTCTCTTACTCTCTCCGCCAGTACTATCACATACGCCTTGTACAACGTCGGCATTAGCGTGACCCCCCTCCACCTTTCCTCCCTCCCTCTTTTTCACTATTGGCACTATTACCCCCTCTTTCCAAATTTCCGGCCATCGCTCCCCTTTTCACACCCTATTGCAAAATCCCCATACCCACTC